ATCTCTCTTTTGGGGCACCTGGGTGGCTCAGTGGGTTAAAGCCTCTGCTTCGGCTCAGGTCATGATCCCGGGGTTCTGGGATCAAGCCCCACATCAGGCTCTCTGCTCAGCGGGGCGTCTCCCTCTCTCTCTACCTGCATCTATGCCTACTTGTGATCTCTGTCTGTCAAATAAATAAATAAAATCTTTAAAAAAAAAAAGAATCTCTCTCTTCCTCTACCCCTCCTCCCTACCCCATGCCCTCTCCTGCTCCCATGTGCACACTGTCTCTCTCTCTTAAAAAAAAAGAAAGAAAGAAAGAAAAGGAAAGAGAAAAAATACCCAAGCGTTTTAAGGCCCTGGAAACACTGCCATTTTCTTTTCTAGAAAAAATAATCCAATTTACATTCTCACCAGAGGAATATGAAAATTTATCTCGTCATACTCTCATTATTACTGAATATCATTATTTAGTAATCTTTGCTAATGTGTTAACTGGAAAATGGCATCACATTTTCACACCAATTAGTATGGTTTTCTATTGCTTATGAAGCAAATTTTTTTTTTCTTTTTTTTAAGTAGACTCTGTGCCTGGCTTGGAGCCCAACACGGGGCTTGAACTTACGATCCTGAGATCAAGACCTGAGCTGAGACGAAGAATTAGACACTTGGGGCCCCTGAGTGGCTCAGTCACTTAAGCTTCTGATTCTTGCTTTCACTCAAGTCGTGATCTCATGGGTCCTAAAGATTGAGCCTGCATCAGGCTCTGTGCTCAGCAGGAAGTCTGCTTGAAGATTTTCTCCCTCTGTCCATCCTCTCACTTGCATGTACTCTCTCTAAAAAAAAAAGAGTTGGACACTTAACCAGTGGAGCCACCCAGGGGACCCAGAACACTTTTTTGGTATGTTTATTGGCTAATCTTTTCTTGTTTGAAAACTAATAATTACTTTTGTCAATTTAACTATAATAATGATTGTAATAATATATTTATTCATTTTTTAAAGATTTTATTTACTTATTTGACAGAGATCACAAGTAGGCAGAGAGGCAGGAAGAGAGAGAGAAGGAAGCAGGTTCCCTGCTGAGCAGAAAGCTCGATGTGGGGCTCGATCCCAGGACCCTGAGATCATGACCTGAGCCGAAGGCAGAGGCTTCAACCCACTGAGCCACCCAGGCACCTCTATTTATTCATTTTTAAAAAAACATTTTATTTATTTATTTGACAGAGAGAGAGGGAGAGCATGAGCAGGGAACAGCAAGCAGAGGGACAGAGAGTGGGAGAAGCAGACTCCTTGCTGAGCAGGGAGCCTGATGCAGGACCAGATCCCAGGACCCTGAAATCATGACCTGAGCTGAAGGCAGATGCTTAACGACTGAGCCCCCCAGGTACGCCTATTCATTCATTTCTAAACAAATATTTATCAAGTATCAAATATGTATATGTACCAAACACACTTCTAACTGCTGGGGATGGAATGTTAAGCTCCATGAGGAAGAAGGACATTAAAAAAAAATGAAGAGGTAAATTAGGATGTTAGAGGGTAATAAAAACTATGGTGAAAAATGAACCAGGTACAGGTGAGTTTGGGACAGAAAGAACAAGATACAATTTAAAATTGGGTAGTCAGGTAAGTATTTATCAAGCAGGTGACATTTGAACAAAGACATAGGGTAGGGACACACAGAGCAGGACCCTATAATCGGTGAGCATATATAATTCGTCATCCAAACTGGGACATTTTTAGAGCGAAAGGTTTTGGGGGGTATTAATAATCACCCTAGGCCCATCGATAGATACTATGACTGTCTTGGGAAAACTGGGACATATGAAACTTCTATGTATAGACTATCGAAAAGACTTTAACTTTTCAAAAACCTGACGGAAGTAAGACGAAACTCACGTAAATAAAAGCATGTGCCGTGAGACCATAAAGGGGGGAAGAAGAGTACCTGAGATGGGAAGCTCTTGGAAGGTTTTGAGTGGAAAAATGACATGGTCTTGTTTAGATAACTCAGGCTGCTGTGCCGAGGACAGACTCAGGGCGGGCAGGAGCATAATTAAGGAGGAAGGTCTGGTTCAGAAGCTAACAGAATCCAGGCAAGACACTAGATTCTAGAACATGCAATATGAGATTGGCTGCCAGTCTGAGTGCTATTCATAAGCCAGTGTGGGATGTTGCCTTGTAGATCTAACTTTAAAAGCAGTTTTTAAAAATCAGGAACGTATCTTGAATTTAATCAAATGATCTTTTGACATCTGTTGATCTACTTGGTCTTTGAGCTATCAAAGAGATAATCATCTGTGTACTTGTTGCCTTTATAAAAACATTTAAAAAAGCCATCTCTTATTATTTTAATGTATAAACAACAGTAAAATGTAATTATCACATCCTTACTTCTTATATTTAGAAAAAGCTTTAAGAGCATTTTGTAAATAGGAATTTAAAATTTTTAATGTCTATGTATCAAACAAACATTTCCACCAAACTGGAGTTACAAAGTTTCTTAACTAAAAAATATTTATCAATGCTTGTTAAATGCAAGAAAGCACTGTGCTAAACAGATCTATAGAGGATAAAAAGAGAAACAAGGTAGGGTTCCTAGCCCCCCAGAGGCTAAGAGGCTGTGGGGGCAATAAGACAAGAGTCCAGCTCAGTGAGGGTTAACAAGTACCTGAAGAGCTCAGAGGAGGGAACAGCTACTGCCGGTGGGGTGGGAAGAAAGTTCAAGAAGAGCTTCTTGGGAGGCAGCATGGCCTGCTCTCTGTGGGACAGGCTGCCCAGTGCTCAGCAAGGTAGGTGGAAAGCTGATCCAGACAGGCTGCATCCATGGGGGAGATGAAAGCACTGGGTGGATGCCAGAAGCTATGCTTCCGTCTCCAATGAGAAACATAAATTATTCTAGGATATTCTGGTGGATTTTAAAGTAACGGTCAAAAGGTAGGATCAGTGTGTCAGTAGGATATAAAATATGTGTTAGAAATATGGCAATAGAGAGAAAAAAAATTAGGGGTTAATCAGAAAAGTTCAAGATAAGGAACCTGAAATAATAAGGACTATTTATCAAAAATATTACATCCAAGTTTCCTCTAAAAAATAGTTTGTGAAAATTTACTTTTGAGGATAATTGTTTTTCCGGAGCTGATGCCATCAAGCATCATATTAAAACCAGTGGCTACCTGTTTCTATACACACAGCATAGTGCTGGGTATAGGAAAGGGGAGCTTACCACTGTGCTGTGGTCACAGAGGCCACTTTCAATGAAAGCATGCCGCCCAGGTGTCCAGGAGTAATGTCCTGCTCTGTTGTCATCTCAGTGTGCCTAAAACATGCTAAGACAGAGACTGGACGTGTCTCTCCTGAGCTTATAATACACGACCCCAGCTTTCTTCTCCCCCGCTCACTTGTGGAACTGAAACCAGATGCAGCCCCAGCTGAGGAGACTAGCACCTGTAGACGACACTTAGGAAGGAATCTATTAATGGAAAGAACTGTTTTAAAAGTCTCTCCAGATTGTTGGCTTGGAACAGCTCCCTTCCTGGGGGCCAGTAGCTCTTGGCTGCAGCGCATACAAATGGTCTTTACCAACCTAACTGGTTTGTGGCTCTCCTGATTCTCTGTTTACTAGCAAAATACCTCTTCAGCCGCTCTAAAGAAACAGATGGTTTAAACACATGCTCAAAAAGATCACAGTGAATGCGGACCGGTGAGTTATAGCCTCTGAAACTGTAGCAGGGAACTGTCTGGGTTTCCTTCCTAAAGGCCAGTGGGTCATACGACCCAAGCTACTTGATCTCCTGCGGCATTTCACTTGCAAAACACTACTGTTATCTGCCATCAATTCCCTTCAAAGGACTGTACAAAATTTTCTGGATGGGAATACCACATCTAATCATTTAGTTACAGCAGTATATGAGTTTGCCTCAAACACGACTATAATTTTGAATGTGCTGTTTCAGTGATACACATACACACACACATACTGTTGTCACCTGATAGTTGCGTTAATACAATGACATTCTTTTTATTTGAATAGTATTTGTATGTTTGGAAATGAGTGTCAATATTTGTATGGATTTATCAGTCCTTGACCATAAGATTTTCAAAAAATCTTATGAACCCATTTCATCAAATTCACTAGGATGGTAGACTCTCTGGAAATGGTTTTTAAAACAAGGAGATTTTCTGGAAGAGTGGCCCAGAGTGTGCTCTATGACAAGTATTTCTCAACAGCAGAGTCATCTTAGTGTTCATCTTTAGGCTTGCTCCAGTTCCTTAGGAAAGGCTATGGTTTCCTCACAGAGACTGATGCATTTAGTTTTCAGGTCACCAAATGGGGTGGAGATCTTATCAGAATGAAGTTATTAGAACTTTGGGATTTTCTTCCTTCTCCACTGAATCTCTTGGTTTTTTCCTAAACCTGAACCTGAAAATAAAATAAGGGTTAAAGAAAATTAAATATTCAAGATTCTCCTCTTTATAATGCCAGACTGACATTAAAAAACTTTTATCCAACACTGAAAAAAAAAAGAAATAAAGAAAAAAGAAAGACATTTATCCAGTCAATGAATATAACTCTAATAATAGCTCAGGAGTCTAGAGCTTGTATTCTCTAATTCTACAGTTTCCCCAAGGAAAGGATGGAATGGTAAATATGACTTCTCAGCATGCTAAAGTTAATGTTGAAATAGTTATATCATTTGAAGAAAACAACTTTTGGGGCATACTTTGTTATACATGTTCTGTCAGAAATCAGAATCATCCACTCATACATAGATTTATGTTCTTCTTGGCCAGGCACTAAAAACGTGTTATCTTATAGAACTTCAAGATAGTCATATGAACTATTTCCATATAATAGATGTGAATCCCAAGGTTTAGTGAAAATTAAGTAATTTACCCAAATTCACGCCCTAGATTTGGGATTTGAAGCCAGGCAGTTTCACTCTAGAATCTCAACTTCTATGAATCCACTCATCTTTAATTGTTTGCCAATCTGTGATACTGTAGAAAGATATTTATGTCCCAAGTTCCTGACACAAAGCTCCTAAATCCTTTGTCATTTCCTGGGTGATAGGGGGCATAGGAGCATCTTGTGTTTTGTTCTAATTAGGCAACTCCTGGAGGGCCCCTTGATAACTTCAGGATGGAGGCTGGTTGCCAGAAAGATCAGGCCTTGATTAGAAGCCTGGAACTTTCAGCTCCACCTTCCAACCCCCAAGGAGGGGTGAGGGGCTAGAGGTTGGATTAGTTATGGATCATGCCAAGATGATAAAACCTCCATAAAACCCCCTGAACACTGAGGTTCGGAGAGCTTCTGAATTGGTGAACACATCCATGTGTGAGGACGGTGGTGTTCCCCAAATGCATGGGGACAGAAGCTCTTGCACTCTGGACCCTTCTGGACCTCACCCTTTGTACCTCTTCACTTGGCTGTTCATGTGCATTCTTTATAATAAACCTGAAAAGGTAAGGAAACTGTTACCTGAGTTCTGTGAGTCATTCCGGCAAATTACTGAACTTGAGTGGAGAGAGGGGAGGTTGTGGAAACACCAGACTTCGCAACCAAGTTGGATAGAAGTGGGAATAACCTGGGGACCTGATATTTACCACTGGCATCTGAAGGGAGGGCAGTCTTGTGGGACTAAGTTCTAAAACCTGTGGATTCTGATGCAAACTGGTGGTTAGTGTTGGAATTGAATGATATTGTAGGACACCTAGTTGGTGTCAGAAATGGTGGGTATCAGGAGGGAAAACTCTCATAAATCTCATAGGCCCCCCAAAAGATTAAATTGTTTCATTTCGTATTTCTTTATTAATGTGGACAAGTATTGTTTTTCATGTATATACCTGCCAATGAGATTTTTTTCTGTCAACTGATTGTTGGTAACCTTTGCTAGTTTTCCTGCTGAGTTGTCTGTCTTTTTCCCACTGACTGCTGAGAGTTTCGTGTATATTAGCTGTATAAACCCCATGTGTATATTGTGTGTTGCAAATATTTCCCCCCCGGCTTTTTGACCTTTGTTTTTATTTACAGTTTCCTTTCTTGCTGTGCCAACAATTTCTAAAGTTTCATAATCAGTGGTAGCAATCTTTTCCTTTACGTCTCTTTGCTTTTCATATCATGTTCAGAAAGGCCTTCTCTGAGCAAAACATAACAAAAATATGTGTGTTTTCTTCTGGTACACATATGACTTTACATTTTTAGGCCTCAATTTTTTTTTTAAGATTTTATTTATTTATTTGACAGAGACCACAAGCAGGCAGAGAGGCAGGCAGAGAGAGAGGAGGAAGCAGGCTCCCTGCTGAGCAGAGAGCCCGATGTGGGACTCGATCCCAGGACTCTGAGATCATGACCTGAGCCAAAAGCAGTGGCTTAACCCACTGAGCCACCCGGGCACCCCTTTAGGCCTCAATTTTTAAACACTCTGCAATTTATTGATGTATTACTCTGAAATAGGATGTAAGTTTTTAATTTATCCAGCATGGCTAGCTGAATTCTCTAACACCCTTTACTGAATAATCTAATTTTCCTTACTGATTTCAAATTGCTACTTTTTAGCATAGACTGAGTTCTCATAGTTTCTTGGATTTAATTCTGAACTCTATACTATTCCAGTGAGTTCTATTCCTATACCCTTATCATATAGTTTTAATTATCTTTGCTTAGTAATATGCTTTATTATCTGATAGAGCTACTCTCTACTTTCTACTCTGCTTTTTCAGAAACTTCCTGGCTATTATTGAATGCTTATTCCTTCTGAGGGATTTTGCTACTAGTTTTTAACGTTTCACTTACCCTTTCACTTTCTGCATCTGCTCTAAGGTCTCTGGTAGAGTCATTCCAAAACTTTCAGGGAAGAAAAGGGTGATGATTCCAATGAAGACAGTCAGGCTACCCATGACAATGTAGGGCAGAACTCTGTTGTAAGCACCTACAAGGCACAAGACCATCAATTGGATACAGGGATTCTCCAGATACTCCTGGAAATTGTTTTGTCATGGTGGCAAACAGTATTTGAGAGTACTCAAGTCTGAACATTTTCAGAAGGAAAAAGGTATGCAAAAGATCACAGTTTCTTTTTGGCAGAAGCCATTGCCTCCGTGATTTCCATAATCATTTCCCTATGTGCTTTTGCAATATTGTAAAGTCTTTCATGCCATTTGGCAATCTCTAAGCCACTATTGAACCATGAATGACAGATGTTCCATTGATGAAAGTCTTTGCCAACCAAGTTTTCCCTCTCAAGGTGGAAGTCATTGGAGATGGGGATGAGAGGACATCAAGGAGGAGAAAGGACATCACAGGGACAGGTACAGGCCATGATGAGTGGTGTGAACTTTGCTTTTGCCTGAACTGTGAAGTAGGCTGCAGTGGACAGCTAGGTCCAAAGAGCCATGAAACTCTTAAAAGAAAAAAAACCTAAGTAATATGTTTAATCCAATTTCAATCACTCAATGTCAGGCATAGTGAATGCACTATATACCTGGATTTGGTTTCTTTTTGCAACGTTTATGTGTCTTGGTTTTATAAGAACCATTCTCCACCTCTTCCTTATGTGGCGTTACTTGGACAGGAGAATAACAGATCCTCATCTTGCCTCCTTTCTGCAAACAGAGGTTATAGAGGAACAACACACCCAAGAATTTTATTTGATGGATTTTAATCTGGAAGCTCCTCTGAGGTGTCTGTGTCACTAACAGGAGTAGTTGTTGCAGAACAGAAAGCTGCCTCAGATTCCTCCCTTTCATCTGTACCGGTGGTCTGCCCTTAGACCAAGTGAGCATGGCTTGAAAGAAGAAGGAATGAAGGGAAAATGACACCATTCAATATGTTTTTCAAAGATTTTATTTATTCATTTGACAGATAGAGATCACAAGTAGGCAGAGAGGCAGGCAGAGAGAGAGAGAGGAAGCAGGCTCCCTGCTGAGCTTAGAGCCCGTCGCGAGACTCCATCCCAGGACCCTGAGATCATGACCTGATCCGAAGGCAGAGGCTTTAACCCACTAAACCACCCAGGTGCCCCGACACCATTCAATATTTTAATGTGCTTTCTTAGGGCTTGTTCAGGGCAGCAATGCAGAGTATGTTTAAGATAAGAAAATGTTTCACTTTCTCTGCAAAAATTAGGGTGTACCTTTCGTGAGAATTCAGATATAGTATTTGTCTGCATGCGTGTTTGAACCAGTAGGTAACGGATGACTAGGAAGAATAGGAGGTGTATCAGCATCTCTCACCGTCAGAGTCCTTAATGAGGCTTAGGCTTGGAGTAGGAGATCCTACATTCATTGAACAACCCACCAAAGCCCCCCTGTGGTGTTACTCCAGATTGCAAAATCTGACCATAGAAAAACTAAAATTTCTTAAAATATCATAAAGTCAAAGTATATGATGAACTAAGAAAAATATTTACTACATATATGCAAAGGGCTAGTTTCTTTCAATTACAAAGAGCTCTCACAAATCAGGGGCGCCTGGGTGGCTTAGCCCTTGGTTAAATGTCTGACTCTTGATTTCGGCTTAGGTCATGATCTCATGGGTTTTGAGATAGAGCCCCGCATCGGACTCTGTGCTCAGTGGGGCTTCTGCTTGAAGATTCTCTCCCTCTGCCTCTCCCCCCCAACTCACGTGAGCATGTTCTCCTGTGCTCTGTCTCTCAAATAAATAAAGAAATCTTAAAAAAAAAAATTCAACCTTATTTATAATTGAATTAGAAATGAAAACAATAATGACATCCATTTTTCAGGTAACAGATTACCAATGATTAAAAAATTGGGTCATCCCCATTGTTAGTGAGGATATGGAGAAATAGGCCCTCTCATATATTGACAGTTGGACTGTAAATTAGTACAATATTTAGAGGCCAGTTTGGCAATATCTATGAAAATTTTAATTTGCTCCAACAATCCATGAATCCAAGTGTATGTAATTAAATGAACAAAGGGTCTTAGGGGGATAGAGGAATGATTATTGCAGTGTTATGTGTGATAACAAAAACCAGGAAATAGCATAAATGTCTATCCATTGAGCCTAGTTAAACAAATTATGTATATACATATATTGGAAGAATATATACTAACTAAAAAGAAGGTAAAAAGCTCTATACACTAATAAGATATTCTGATACAATGTTATATCTAAAAAGTTGTGAAACAATATATATAATTTTGTTTATATGTTTAATTTTATTGTGTGTATATATATATGTTTTGCAAAACTATATGTTTTGCAAAACAAAATGTCTGCAGGGCTACTCACCAAAGTGTTAATATTAGCTACTTCTAGGGCTGCAGTCTGGGGAGCCAAGGGAGAAAAAGTGAAGTTGTACTTTTTCCAGTACTTTCTGTGCTGTTTGCATTTTTTCACAATGAAAAATCTATTCCTTTATATTTTTTAAAACAGAACAAATTGACAAGATGCATCTCACCGAGGTAAACAAAGTAGGGAGCAATGATGCTGCCCACTCTGGAGGCCATGGATGTGACCCCCACGGCCATGTTCCTGACCGGGGTGGGGTAAAGCTCTGCGGTGAAGACATACAGCATGGAGAAAGCAGAGGTGATCCCGAACTTCCCTAACATCACCAGACCAATGGACAAGAAGTTGTAATCTGGAAAAGAGACCCCGTGTAAAAAGAGGTGCTCCTAGAAGTAAGACTTTGTTAACTCAGTTGCTTTCATTGTCCTCTTTGCTTGTACAGCAATGTTTTCATAATGTAAAGATGTTCCCAGAGCACCTAGGTGACTCAGTCAGTTAAGCCTCCAACTTTGATTTCAGCTCAACTCGTGTTCTCAAGATCGTGAGATCCAGCCCTATCCTGGGCTCTGCACCGAGTGTGCTTAAGATTAAGATTCTCTCTCTCCCTTCCTCTCTGCCCCTCTCTTTCCCCATGTCTCTCTCTAAAAAAGAAGGAGATATTCCCCAAGTAACACTTTGTCTTCAAATATCTTAATAATTGGACACAAACAAAGATGGAGAGTGACGGGTTGCTTTCTGTTCTGCTCTACTGCTTTTCAGTGCATTCAGTGACCTTTGCCTACTTTCATTCGTTACAGCAGTTTCATTGTAAGTTGTTAGCATGTTAATATAGTTAAGTTTAATCTTCAAAGAGAAAGACCTATCCTTTCTAACCTGTTTATAATTATCAAAGAGATATATGTTTTATGTATAATACTAGGTTATTAATGATCTATTGACAACATTTTAATATGAGAAAGTTAGGCATAAGGAGAAAAAAGAAGCAAATGTCTTCGTGTGCTCTTCAACTGCTTAAGGATTACAGGCCCTAAAAATCACTGCCTTATATGGGAACTGGCAGTCCTACGCACTGCAACGCTAGAAAATGTTCCTCAGGGAAGAGATCTGAAAGTACCAAGGGAATGATGGACGGCATCAGGCTTCCTCTCAGGCAGTGATTTCTGATCCCTTAAGGCTGACTCCCATGTCAGGGGAGTTGTTGTGAACACAGGAAATGCCGTAGTTAGCTATCGCTTGTCCAGTTGACTTAAGAAGGGCTTATGATGTAAAGGCGACACAAAGAGGGCACAGTGACTAATGATTAGTCTAGTCAAGGTGCAGCTCTTTTCCAGTAAGCGGTTAATATTAGTTAACTTCTTACCTGCGGGTACGAACTGAATTAAAAGAAGCACACCTCCTCCCAAGAACAGTACGCCGGCGATGATGTAACGCCGAGGCAGCCTTCGAAGCAGCAGCCAGGCTGTAATGTAAGCGGGAACCTCAATCAAGGCAGAAAGGAAACAGTTCAGGTAGGCATCTCCATGTAAATTAGGAGCATTGAGAGACAGAGCAAAGTAACCCACTGAGGTTAGCATCCTGAAAGACAAAAGAAAGAAGGCAAAAATGCCAAGAGGATAGCCTGAACCACTCAATGATTCCATGACGGTCAAGAAATTGTCCCGGTCTTTCTGTCCTACAAGTAGCCACTAGCCACATATGGCTATTTAAAAAGTATGTCAATTAAAATTAAATTAAATTAAAAATTCAGTTCTTTAGTCACACTGGCCACACTTCACCTGCTTCAGAGCCACCTGTGCCTACTGGTTGCAACAATGGACAACTCAGATATAAAACATTTTCATTGTTGTGGCAAGTTCTCTTGGACAGCACTAGTCTAGATCTGCCAACATTTAACAACACCTACCCTGGTCTAGTTAATTTCAAATTTCAGTATTTCCTGAACAGTTCGTACATCCTTGTTCCCTTACAACTATTATCTGAAGAAAGCGCATCAGTCACGTCAGTGAACACAAAATCCAGATTTATTCTTACCCAAAAGAAAAATGAGGACACATAGGTAATACTGCAGGATTCTCTTTTGGTGAATTCCAATCGATTTATTAAAACTCACTTTAGGGAAGAGAATGAAAGTCCCATGGAACATAGTACACACTGCACACCCTGTCATTACAGTTGACTTCTGCAGAACTGTAAAACTCTTCTGTGCAAAAACAACTGCACCTTGCAGACTCCTCTGTGCAGAAGTTTGCTTACTATTAACATGACTGAAAAGCAGAGGATATCTGAAAAATGTTTTCAGGAACATTATTACTCTGATGTCACCGTTCTGTTGACGGTATAGCTTCTGGAAGCAGGAGCTGAATTAGCCTCTCACTTTCAGGAACCAGCAACATAATTAGCATGAATCCCAATGACTTTAGGAGGGGAGGGACCCTTTCCCTGTGGCCCACAGTAAGCAGGCTTAAATGTCATGTTATTTTTTTATGTTCCCTGTGACTTTTTTTCAGCATCCAGTTCCATGAGTTGAATGGAGCCATTTCCAAATAACTTAGAATTCTAGAATTTCTGTTTTGTCTCAGGAAGACTCAACCCTTGCCCTGACGTTGCTGTGAATTAGAGAAAATCAGTTGTGTCCTTAGGTGTTGTGTGTCATATCCATAGATCATTTATTACTTACCACAGGAGCAAGGACATAATGGTTATTATGGCAATATTCCGAGTCCTGAACAGGTCCAGAATGAGAACTTTCTGCTGACCAGGGAGTTTTAGTTCCTGTAGCTAAAATAATGTAAATCACTGTGAGATTAAGAGGTAATGAGGAGGTATCTTCAACCATTGGCATTGTGGGAAAGACCTGTTATGCCTGTAAAGCTCCTTCACCTTGAATATGCTCAGAAGCCTAGAATTTGAGGGGAATAAGGGCATCTACATATAAGATGCTTATCCTAACTATTTAAAATACTTGTGGCCCATTTTAGACTGAGCCTTTTTGAAATATGAAACATTGGCTTCACTGCCTCTTTATATAAACCCTGACTGCTAATAGCCTTTTCTTGACTCATGGTCACCACTGTGGTGACTCAAATCACATTGAGCTGTGATCCTTAGGACCTGTTGAGTGGACAGAGCCAAATAGCCCCAGCTCCCTTGAGGTCCATGTCTGCTTTTTGTATTTTTCTTGTTGTTGTCTCAGAGTCAGAAGAGATTTGGATTCACGGAGGGCCTTGGACAAGAGGTCTGAGCATCAGTTCACTTCTCCTTTAAAAAGGTATAAATAGGGGCACCTGGGTGGTTCAGTTGTTAAGCATCTGCCTTTGGCTCGGGTCATGATCCCAGGGTCCTGAAATCGAGCCCCCCGTCAGGCTCCCTGCTCGGCAGGAAGCCTGTTTCTCCCTCTCCCACTCCCCTAGCTTGTGTTCCACTCCCCTAGCTTGTGTTCCCTCTCTCGCTGTCTCTCTCTCTGTCAAGTTAATAAATAAAATCTTTTTTTAAAAAAAAAGATCTAATAATTGGGAGTTGAGAAGATTAAATGAGATCATATACATATATATATATATATATATATATATATATATATATATATAATATATAAAGCTTAGCATAGTACTTGAACCATGATAGATGCCCAACTTTTTTTAACTATAATTATTACTATGACTGCACCATTGAGAAAAATATGCTAACAATCTGGTTGGTGGCAGTTTCTCATTGCTGTCAATGGGCTTTCTTCCTCTACTTTTAATTTACTAAAGTTAACTTGCCATGTGGTAGAAATCTAGATAACTAAGTTTGTTGGAGCTTGTAAAAAATGTTACAAGGCTCTGAGGTGTGGAATCTCTTTAGGACATGAGGTATATGCAATAAGAGGCTTAGGAAGGAGTGTCTGCTGTGAAGGAGTAAGACTGCCAGACCTGCTTTTGTAGCAGGTGCTCCCCACATATGAGCATCCTTCTTTCCAAGAATAACCAGACACTCCCACCTGCTGCTCACAGACATTTTACTTTTCTTCTTCTACACAGTTTGGAGTGAACAGTCCTAGAACAATGCCCCTGGCAGCAAAACTCTACTATCACAACCAAAGTAAAGCCCCTGCATAAACTAGTAGGAACTGGAAGTCTTCATGGAGGAAGTGGGGTCATGCATGGATAGGACCTGTGCATCAGGCCCATGCTCACACTTGCTGCTTCCACAGGGCCCTTATGAAAATGCAGCTTGCCAGGTCCCACCCAGGGCGTGCTGACTCTGAATCCTCCCTGGGGCCCTGAAGCCTACAACTCTGTATTTTTAAAGTTACTTGGGTGATTTTTCCCACTCCCCGCCTTGGGTGATTTTGATAACAGCCAGTTTTAGAAAACTCAGGACAAGCATAGTCTTATATCCAGGGCTTGTGCCTATATGGAGTCACCAAAATACCTTTGGACCAGACGCCATGAGCAGGCTGAAGGTACTTCAGGAAGAAAGCCAGGGAAGCCCAAGATAGCTTTCTAACATGACACTATTCTGTATTTTTTCCTATCCACTGCCTCTAACATGAGTTAGGAAATGACATGCTGTTAAATGCATGTCTTCTGGTACCAAGAGACCTAGTGAGATTTCTAGCTATGTGTTTGTGGGCAAATTCCTTAGCTTCCCTGTACCTCAGTGTCCACTCCTGGAAAAAGGGCCTGGAGCTTTTTCCACTCAGTGTCCACTCCTGGAAAAAGGGCCTGGAGCTCACTAGCTCTGGCTTGCGTGAACATCAAAGAAACTAACACCATGCCTGACATCTGGTAGACTCTCTGTTGTCATTCCGAGCAGGCTGTATGTGCTGGCGTATACACCTTTGCCAGGAGGTGAGCAGCAGAGAGGAGCACAAGCTCCCTTTCCTTCAGCGGGCTCGTCCAGTTCAGGCTCCATGTGCCTCCCAACCTCCACAGAGTCCTGCTTTCTGGGGAGGCCAGACTTGAGTCTGTAGACTTGAATGTGGAGCAGGTGTACTGTTGCTGCAGCTGTCCCCATCTTCTTGGGGTATCCTGAATAGTCCCCTGCCCTTCTCCTGGCGAGGAATGCACTGCCCCCCTCCTCTCCACTCATCTAAGCCCCCAGACCCTGGTTTGGACCTGCCTCTTCAGCCTGGAGTCCATCTGCTGCCTTTCTCTGCTGCTACACAGCATCCCTACCTTGGATACTTAGCACTTCCTCCCGTTTATGTTTACATCTAATCCTCTTGACCACCTTAGCTACCCGCTGTGCTCCTTAAGCATAGAAACTATAGCTAACTTTTCTTATTTTCTCTAGGACCCAGCAGAGGGCGTGGACAGGGATGCTGCAATTCCCCACTGACTGTCAGCGAGTACGGCCGCTACCACAGAATATCATCTTTCCCTTGTGGCCTCCTGTTTTCAGGGGTGACCCCTTGAGCCTGTGCCTTCACGCCTTTAGGGTGTAGACATGGCGCAGCAAACCAAAGGCAAACACAGCTTCCTCAGCAGCTGCAGCATGATTCAGAGTATGGTGGGGACATCATAGATGGCATACCCCTCAACCACATTTTTTCCACTTCATCTGGACATTGAGAAATCACTGGTATGTAACTGCACCAGTGGTATGGAGCAATACCAACATAAAGTTGGAGATAAAACTTGCCAAAGGGAAGGGGGACTAGTATTTAATCAACACATGTTGTAAACTAAGCAGTTTACATATGTGATTGCATCTCATTCCCTCGCAGCCCTCTGAGGTAGGTTTCACGTCAGCACTTCATCATCACAGGGTCTCAAGGACTCACACAGAGCCTGGTGCACAGTGGGCACATGTCACATTCAATTAAAACAAAAATGCATTGCTGACTTTAAGAGGACACATCTGCAAATGCTTACCTCCATAGGATCAAAAATCACCCTTGGGGCAGCTATGTTGTTCATTTTTGCAGCTTTTTGGATGATACTTTCAGCCTCTGAAAATCTTCTCCGGGATATCAACCACCGGGGAGATTCGGGAATAAACCTGGAATAAATTTGTAATTGTTTATAATTGTTCACAATAGCGGGGTTTAATACTAGTCACCGTAAGTTGCCCCCAAGCAATTTTTATTCTGTCAGATTGTAGGTTGTCTATTAAAAAAAAAAAAACCAGGAAGGAGGCCTCATAAGATTTCCATTGATAATAGGAATAAATAGAAGCACCTCCAAGTTTCAAAGTTCTGATCAAATCACAAGGCTGATCATCAGTTGGACTGGAAGACTGGATCAGACAATAAAGGATAACATTAACTATAGGTGCTGTAAGCCAGGGCAGGGGGAGAAAGTCATTTCAAACTTAATAACCAATGTGGCTCTTAAAGAAACACAATCTAGTGTCTTTTCAGTGCATCCATCCCTTGGAGAACTTCTGGTGCCCAGCTGATAATGGTCAGAAATTTACCAAGTAAAGGTGGCCAAGGCATCTGTGCTCTTTGGGCTTTTCTTGTAGTCACAGGAAAAGGTGGAAACGTGGACAGCACCCCCATGGGCTGTCCCTTGACTCTCAGATCCCCAGGACACTGAGTCACCAAATGAGGTTTTGGGAGACAATTTTTTTTTTAAATGTCTAGAAACTTTTTATTACACAGAGTTTACTTCTATTTTTTCCTAATTTTTCTATTTTTTCTATTAGTATTTCTTTTTCTCATACTTATATTTATTTACATATTTTCTATTTTTACTTTTTGCTTCTCAGTATCTCTTAGCCATTCCTCTACCAGCTCTTGTTTTTCTTACCTATCGGTCAGTACTCAGTGATCTGAGAAAATACATCACATGTAGCTGACACAGAGGCCTCCTCTCATTAAAGGGGCTCCTCCAAAGCCTCACCAGGAATTAACCTCAGAGTAAAGCACAACTTGTCAAATGGCCAAGCCTCAACTCCCTTCCCCAGCCTACTAGCACATGGGTTAAAAAAGGAACCAGGGGGATGCCTGGGTGGCTCAGTTGGTTAAGCAGCTGCCTTCGGCTCAGGTCATGATCCCAGCATCCTGGGATCGAGTCCCGCATCGGGCTCCTTGCTCGGCAGGGAGCCTGCTTCTCCCTCTGCCTCTGCCTACCATTCTGTCTGCCTGTGCTCTCTCTCTCTCTCTCTCTCTCATAAATAAATAAAATCTTTAAAAAAAAAAAAAGGAACCAGGTTTATGTCACTTTGGAACATGCCCTTAGTTGGTCCCTGTAGTAACTCTGATGATGTTAGGTCACTGACCTTCCATAATCAGAGCTGCTCTATCCAGGAAAGCTTTCTGCAGGGCTCTAGAGCTGCATTGCCTTATATCGTAGCCAATAACCTCGTTCGGCTATTGAGCTGGTGTAACTGGTGTGAATGAGCAAAGGAATTTTTTTATTTTATTTACTTTTAATCAAAGTATGTGCATGTGGCTAGTGGCTACTGCTTTAGTGCAGAATTAGAGCTCTTGCTTTCCAGCCACTGTGTACTTCACACCTATATCCATGTATACCACACTTCTAATTCTGAGCCATGTCTTTCCTCCACTGGGTTGTTCTTAGAAATACCCTACTTTCTGCCCACAGGCTCTAAGGGCCCTCACGGACCTCAAGTTCCTAATGTTTAGCTGGCTAGACATTGCAAAGCTTCCCCCATGCTGCATCTATGGGCTCCTTCCCCAACCCCTATACATATACTCCATTCACGATTGTGGTCTGTTCTTGCCAAACCTTTTAAAGGGAACTTGAGATATAAAAATCCCCAAACCACCTGCAGGGCTTACTCCCATTTTCAGCCCATGGTGCTCAGGGTGCCATGATTTCTACTTTGGCCATGGCTTTTGTGCTGGATGGAGAATCAAGTCTAGTTGATCATTGTAGAAGTTAGTGGAGCACCAAACAAGGTTACTACAGGCTCTCTGTAGACTGAATTCAGATAGAGCAGGGGCAGGGCATTGCTGGAAAGTCTCTTACACTGAGCGGGCAGCAGGGAGCACGGCAGCCCAAAGCCAACCCCTCATGACCCCAGCCCACTTAGACTGATGAGCATGGCTTCAGGAAGTCCCACCCTCAAGAACGAGGTGTTCATAAGAAAGCTATTTTGTTTTTATAGGAAAATGCCGAGACTGTTGTTAAACTTTTAGGACAAGCACACGGCTTTGTAGTGCCCCTGGGCTGCCCTCTGTCTGGGGCAGTTCTGTCCCTTGTACAGTGTGCCCTCTGTCCCTTGTACAGTGTGCCCACAGCCCAGAGCATTCACAAGCCAGGCCAGAAGGAAGAACTTTCCTTAGGGCAAGGGTAAGTCAGCTCCTCATGGGATGCACTGTCTTTGCTGTAAACCACAGGGGCTGACCTATCAGAGCTGTTCCTTGCGGCAATATTGGGATCCGAAGCAAAGGTCCAGGCCCTAGAAATTAAAATCTTTATTAACCTCTTATAGTCAGTCAGGGCTCTTTTATTTTTATTCTCTCTCTCTCTCTCTGATAGAATTACACAGTAATAAGGTTGGTTATAACATATTATAGAAGTACTGGTCTCTTGGGCCAAAATGACAGCTAGAGCCAGGGATCACAGATTCTTAACATCATTCATCTGTGGAGGCAGAAAATAACCTTTGAATAATCTTGTCTTGTGTCTTTTTTTTTTTTTTTTTTTTTTTATTTGATAGACAGAGATCACAAGTAGGCAGAGAGGCATGCAGAGAGAGAGAGGAAGGGAAGCAGGCTCCTGCCGAGCAGAGAGCCCGATGCGGGGCTCGATCCCAGAACCCTGGGATCATGACCTGAGCTGAAGGCAGAGGCTTTAACCCACTGAGCCACCCAGGCGCCCCAATCTTGTCTTGTGTCTTGAGAGAAACTCTGTTCACGAACTTTGTTTACAACAAATTTAGTCAGCAGGAGAATTGTGGAAGGAGGGTCAGAAGATGTGACAAAGCTGATGCTGGTGATTATGATGATGATCATGATGGCTCTCATTCCAGAAAATTGCCCTGCTCTTATAAACCTGGGGTGCTTCCTTGGAGACAGAGCTGTGGAGTTAATGGCCTGCCCTTATTTACCATAAGGTTTCCTGACCCTCAGACTGGATTGCAGAGGAAACCTCCAAACCAGAGCAGTATCTAACATTTAACACACTGTCTCTCAAATTCCAGGCAACTGAGGGAAAAAGTGCTTTCTCCTCCCAGGCACATCCATGCCAAGAGTTTACACTGAAAAACGATAGCAGTCTTAGACACGATAAAAAGACCGTGACTGGGAGTGGTCCAACCTGAGCTAACTAGTCCAACAGGGCCAAAATGTGCCACCTGTCAGCCTCTAAGGTTGCCTAACAGTTGCGGCAAGATAAAGGACCTTCTGACAAATTCCTAGGCTGTATACAAAGGACAGGACCATGAGGGCGAATCTAAACCATGAGTTTTTAAAAAATGGTCAAAGAGACTTGCATTGTTTGTTAAGTAGGTGGAGATCAAGCAGTTTGGTAAAACTTATCACTGTTGGGAGATTTGATATTGATATCATGAAACCAAAGCAAGAAGAATTAATGAGAGAGAGCAAGAGAGAAAGAGACCCACCAATAGAAGAAATCCCCTTTCCTCTTGCTTAAATATGGGAGGAAAAAAAACCCCAAAACAAAAAAAAAAAAAAAAAAAAAGAAATGGGGAATCCCCCAAAGAAGGTGCAGCTGGGACCTTATTCCATTACTCTAATCTCTTCTCTCACCTGAAAATTCCCACATAATCCCGTTGGGTGAAACTGGGGCCAGTATCTCCAAACTTGGTTAATCCCACACTGATGTGTCAAAATTGGGTGGCAGGATTGAGGAAGGAGAGAACATTTCTCTCATTAAATGAAAGTAATTCTCTCACCCTTCAGGACAAGCAGAGGGACACCTGGGTGGCTCAGTTGATTAAGTGCTTTGGGCTCAGGACATCATCCTAGGATTCTGGGATAGAGTCCCAAATGGGGCTCTTTGCTCAGCCAGGAGCTTGCTTCTCCCTCTGTCTGCCACTCCCCCTGCCTGTGAGTGGTCTCTCTCTGACAAATAAATAAATATTTTTTTAAAAGACAAAGTAGATAAAGAGGCACATCCTAGATGTGAATCACCCCGTGATAGGAAAGTTTGAGGAAATTACATTAATTGAATCCATAAGGAGAAAGAGATTTCCTAGAGAGAGAAAAGTGTCCAAAGAGCAGCATGGGGCAGAGTTAGAAACAACAAACAAAACCCACCAGTACCATCTCCACAAACAACATCAACAACCAACAGCAGACAAGAGTGGGGTGGGCCCCCGCAGGGATGGGCTTCCCGAGAATGGTGCTGGGTGGGACCGTGGAGAATCCGAGGACGGCAGCATGCAGGCCTGCCTGCAGAGAGGCAAACATGCCCTGGGCTTGGAAGCCTGGGCCCCGGCCAGCTCCATGGAGATGAAGGAGATGACGGAGCCCGAAAGAGCGTCAGCACCAGGTGCTGGCTCCGGGCATGCTGGCCCGCGGCAGGGGGCTGTCTGGGACAGAGCCACACTCACCACCACAGCGGGAAGCACAGCACCCCGGGCACCGTCAGCGCCAGCAGCAGCATCCGCCAGTCTCTGATGAAGTAAGCAAACAGGGGCAGCAGCATGTAGCCAACTGCAAAAAATGTGCACACTCCTAACGTAGAGAATATAATACGAACTGACTTGCCAAGAATTTCAGTTCCTGTTCAAAACAAGGGAGGAGTATTAGCATTTTAGCTCACTTTAATATTTGCCGTTTTCTATCATTACCTGGCAGTTAAAAGTTCAAACTACAGTTGCTGGGAAAAGGGGAAAGGCATTTGCCTTTGGGCCCAGAGGAGGTGAGATTAGGGTGAAGGAAAGTGGGAGGCGACCCAAGACTTGTCCCTTCAGAGGATGAGTTTTCATGACATTTTAAAGGAGCCACAGATTTATCTTTTACAGGCTGTCTCAATGCCCAGCCCTGAGAGGTCATCTCTTCTGAGGAGGCCCTGTTTCCAAAATAAATGCCCAGGGTGAGGAGCAGACAGGGTGTCCCGGGAGATGGTGGGGGCTCTTCCAAAGGGCTTTGTGAGGTCACAGTGCATGTAGCCTTTCCCAGGTTTCCCCACTATAAACAGACAGCCATGGGGTCTTGGGAAACAGTGGACAGTTCATAGTTAACAAAGTCGTGTTAGGATACCATTAGCAACTCTTGAGCCCTGAGAAATGATAACTGTGATCCAGCTGACCTGGGAGGTACACAGAGCAGCTGCCCCGCCCCAACCCCTCCGCAGGCACCCGGAGCTGAATTCCCTGCAGCCTCATTGTACCCAGAGATCAGGCCCAGGCAGACACAGTCTATTCAGAACAAGGAAAGAAAGAAGGAGCTATTTTGCAGGCCCAGCAGGTGGCAGGCAGCCCTAGAGTTGGCCACACACCCAGAGAACTTCACAGAGCTTTCCCAGAACACCACAAAGGCCCAAGACTGCTTGGTGGTGTTGGGCCCTGTTTGGGCACAGGACACACAGGTGGCTGTTGGCTCTGGCTCTGCTCAGTGCCACGGGTCTTCCAAAGTAGTGCCCACCTCTTGGAGCTCCTGGTTGCAATGCGGGAGCCCAAGAATAAGCTCCTCTGTTGGCACAGAGCTCCAGGCCCTTTCCAGAACCTACTCTTGGTCTTCCGCCTCCCCGCTCCCCTGACAGATCTGGCCAATGGCAATAGCTCTGCTTTTTGTTTGAGATCAGCCCACCAGTACAGAAAAGTAGCCCAGGAAACACAGAACAGACCATTCAAAAGACCATTCAGTCTTGTCTTTCAGGAGGTATTTTCTCAGTTGTGTTTATATGCCCTGAGCAGAGGCTAAGGAACTAAGGGCTAATTCCAGAGGAGCCGTTTGATTACTAGAGTCCCTGGGTCCACTTATGCAAGATTTTTTTTTTTTCAATAAATACAGCATGGTATTATAAATGTGTTTCTCTTCCTTATGATTTTTATAATAACATGTTCTTTTCTCTAGCTTATTTAATTTTGAGAATACAGTATATGATATATATAACATACAAAATATGTGTTCACTGACTCTATGTTATTGATGTAGGAAATAACGTTAGAGTTCGAAGCCAACAGCCAAGAGAAAATTCTTGAGATGTCTTTGGTGCAAAAAGGTGATTTTATTAAAGCATGGGACAGGACCCATGGGCAGAAAGAGCTGCACCAGGGTCATGAGGAGTGGCCTATTGTATACTTTTAAGTTGTGAGGGGGTTGGGGATAGTGTAAGTCTCTAAGGAATTTGGAAACAAGGTTTCTAGGACATTGAAGGGCTAGCTATTGTTGGGAAAAAGTCATTTATTATCACCTAATAAAACCTTAGACATGAGACCCTTCAGATGTATATCAGTGGGCCATATGCTTGGAAAAGGGGGTGATTGCCAACACATATCTTGGGAGGTTTAGAGGTAAAGGAAATTTCTAAAGGAGTTTTTATATATTAAAGTAGACTTATAGGATCCTGGGTGGGGAAGGAAGGGGTCAGGCTGGGATTGTCTTTCGCCCTCAGCAAAGTATTAACATCGAGGCAGCTGAGTCCCTAGAGGAATGTCCCTCTGCCTGTTTCAGGGACTTGTCAATGGGTTGCAGCCTGTAAGGAAATTTAATAATTTTCCTTCTGCCTTTGTTTCCACATCATCATCAGTAATTCTGATCATTCTGATCAATTCTGATCAACAGTAGGCTATATTAGTATTTAAGTTCAGGGGGAGTCAAAAGTTATATGTGGATTTACGACTGTGTGGGTGAAGGGTGGTCATTGCCCCAACCCCCCATTGTTCATGGATCAATTATACCCAGCTAGTTTCCCATTATCACCGCCTACTTGTTCCTTATCCCCAGCCCATTTCTTCTTCACTCATCATAAATGAGAGGTGTGCCTCAGTGGTTCCCCTCTTGAACAGCCCATTTCTAAAGCCCAGACTAACGGAAATGGCCAACAATGTGTGCTTCTCCCATTCTGGACTGGAGGCAATAGGCCTAACCCCTTTGGGCACTTTTCAGCCTCTCTGCTAATTTCCAAAGACGGGGCCTGACTTCTTTGAGGATCATGAGTTATTTCCAGATCTTTTCTTACCTCAGTAATGGCCCTCCTACCACTCCAGAGGCAGACTCACCATGCCACGTTTCTAAACACTTTGGCTGTCATTATCGTGATGTGGGAATGAATAGGGGGCACTTTGTTCCTAAGCAGAGTTTCAGAAGTGAAGCAGCAGAGGATCTGATTGCGGAAAAGAGCAAGGGACCAAGTGAGAATCTGGTAGAATCGTGAGGGCAGGGGAGCTCCCCACTGCTTCCTTGACCCTGGTAAGAGAAGAGAGAAGAGACACCACTGGATTCCTGGATAACCTCTGTCTCTAAGCTTGAGTCTCAGGCCAGAACAGAGTTGTTCTGACTTTGTACAGTACCCATGGGGGACAGAACCTTTTAAATCTACCCCTCTGCCATTCCGGGGAGCAACACAGATGGTACGACCCCGAAGAGCACCTTGTCAACACGACTTCCTGCCCTCTGACCTTTAGACAACCACCCCTCCTGACACATGATCGTGGTCGTCGTCACCAGCGTCATCTTCCTAGCTAACATTTGTGTTTGAGCCGGTCCTAGACTGTTGACATACATCATCTCTTTGAAGCTTCACAATAATTATGTCAGAATTAAGATTGCTTCTGGGGCACCTGGGTGGCACAGTCGTCTAAGCGTCTTACTCTTGGTTTTCAGCTAGGGTCATGATCTCAGGGTCGTGAGATGGAGCCCCACTTGGGGGCCCTCTCCCTCTGCTCCTCCCCTTTACTCGCTCTTTTGCTCTCTGCAAAATAAATAAATAAATCTTAAAAGAAAAAAAAAAGAACTAATATTACACCTGTTTTGCACATCATCAGCTGAGACTTAAAGAGTTGAAGCAAATTGCCTCAACTCACATAGAGGGAGTAGGTGGGGGTAGTAAGGATTTAAGCCTGATCTGTTTGAACTATGGATACCATCTAGAAAAAAAAATCACCGGGAGGCAAAGACTGGGCCTTACCAAGCAGTCCTTCAGCTGTGATGCCTAAAGGAGATGCTGATGGGAGATGGGGCACGACAGGCCCTCCTTTCAAGAAATGAGGATTTTCTGGGCTAGTCTTTGAACCAACTGATAGCCGACCAGCCCCCTGTGAGGAGCGCTAGGAGAGGAGCCCAGATTCCTGCAAACCTTCCATGGCCTGCAGCTGTCCAACAGATGACAGCAGTGACTTCTGGCTCTGCTGGCTGGGGATACCTGTCCTGGGTTTGTTTGCCCCCTAGGGTTTTGTTCCTAGTAGGTCTTGGTCTGGTTGGGCCTCAGAGTGTCTCTTGGGAATGAACTCTGTCATCTAAGCCTGACAGGCATGTCCTGATCAGGAGTGTTTGTCTATTGTCTGTCACCACCACCTCAATCCAAGTACTCTCTTTGAGATGGAGTGACTCAGAGAGGGCTAGAGTCACTCAACACAGAGATGTTGTAGAAAACATCAACATTGATCGAGGCCCTTCTCTGGTGGTCATCCCAGGAACCACTGGATCCATTCCACAGCAAGGCAGGATGTGCATCTCCATGAATGACCAACAGAGTCCTGCAGCAGACCCCACCAGACCCCAGCTCAAGAAATAAGAAGATGGTACAGTTGCCAGGACCCAGGGACCCGTGGGTTGTGAGTAGAAAGGCCATGTGCAGAGAGGCATATGTAGAGAGCCTCCTCGACGGTCATTTGCTACTAGAGTGATTTTGATAAGTCCTACTTCATGGAGGTCTTTATTACGAGGTCTGAGATACCATGTGTAAAGAGCCTAGTAGAGGATCTGGCATGTGGCAGGTGCTCAGGAATAGCTAATTCTCTATCCTTGGTCCAACAGCTGAAATGTGCTGAATGACAGAGGAATGAAGAAAGTACAGTGTTTTTGATTGAAACACCCAGTGGAAGACAGTAGAACCTCTCTTTGCTCCCTGGAAATACTCAGAACTCTCTCCAAATTAACAGACATTCCTCTACTCAGGCATTCCTCTCTCCTCTCATGAACTTAGAGATCATTCTAGTTAAAAGTGACCCTTGCTATCTTTGCATATATCCCAAAATGCCTTTCTTCACACAGTACAGTGCAAACAAGGGGTGCCAGCAAATTTCTACGTCCTCTTAATGTATTTATATCCCATCTCATTCCCTTGACATCTTTGACATACCTTATAATTCAAACACAATAAGGTAACAGTAGCATTAAAGTAAAATACAAAGAAAGGCAAAAGTTCTGCCCTGGAGGAAAGAAAAAACTATGCAACTGATCCCCTTGAAAAACGTATGGCAGTTCCTTAAATGGTTAAACAAAATTAACATATGACCCAGCAACTCCACTCCTAGGTACATGTCCAAGAGACCTGAAAACACTTATCCAAAAAACACCTGCCCTCAAAAGTTGACAGTAACATTATTTTTGATAGCTAAAAAGTAGGGACACCCCAGATATCCATCAACTGATGTATGGATGAAGAAGATGAAGTAAATCCATTCAACTGAATAGTGGTTCATGCTACAGTACAGCATGGACCATCAAACTGAAGGAAGTCGGTCACAAAGGCCACAGGTTGTATATTTCCACTTATCTGAAATGTCCAGGATAGATAAAACCATACAGACAAAAAGTAGATTAGTGGTGGCCAGGGGTTAAGAAAAGAGAATGGAGAGTCATTGCTAATGGATACAGGGCTTTTGGGGAGGTGATGAAAATGTTCTGGAGCTAGACAGAGTTGATGGTTGTACAACTTTGGAATATACTAATAACCACTAAACTACACATTTTAAAAGAGTGAATAGTATGGTATGCAAATTGTATCTCAATTTAAAAGTACTTTAAAAATATATACGTGACTGAGAAAGACTGCACAATTGACAGAGTTAAATTTCAATTTTGCCTCAGTCTTCTGGCGGGGAGAGTTGTAAAGGAGGATTCCATCAGTTACATCCTTTTGGAAAGGAAGCATGCATCTATTCACCAGAGGAAGCAGAGTTTGAAACAGGTCAGCATGCTGGCACAAATAGTGCACAGGAGGTTGATGTTACGAGTACTAGAAAAATACGGAATTAGTGGATCGGTCAAGACCGGAAGGCAGTTAACTGTGCAAAATAAATTTGAACAAATAGTTACGAGGGCCAAAGGAGGAGCCCCTGGCATTTTACCCAGAAGGCGGTGGACAGCTTCCAGGCACTATTTCTGGGAAATGGTAGGAGATGGTGAGGGGGAGCTGAAGAGCAGGCAAGGTCAGTGTCATTGGTCCTGAGTGGTAATTTCCTCCTAGATCAGCATCTTTTTGCCAGAGTACTCACTACCAGGTGAATCCTCTTTATGTTTCTTTGGCTAGCATTGTTTCTTCCCTCCCTTTTCTTGTCTCCTATGACTCTGGCAAGCTTTACAGTTTTTAAAAAAGTAGAACAAGGAAAGAAAGGATCCATTGCTACATCGTTTTGAAAATGGGAGTAATTCAGTTTCCCAATTTAATGGGAAGTCCCTTAAATTGAGATTATTATCATAGAGTCTTGCCAACCCTGCGCTAGAGCCAGAAGACAAAAGAGAAGGCCCAGACCCCAAGCGTTTCGTTTATTTTACTCAGAACCCAGAATTCACTATTTTAGCCCTGGGACGCCAGAGGGCACTGCTGCGCTGCGGAGAAGCCGGGCACCGCCCAGCGTTGGCACTTCGCGCCCCAACCTTGCCCCGCCTCGCCTCGTCCCGCCCCGCCCCAGGCCCTGACTCCAGAGTCTGCAGTTGGGGGAGGGTGGCGGCACGGGGGAGCCGGTAGGTTTTCAGTGACATTCTTAAATGCCCAAACCCGAGAACCCAACACAAAGAGTCTCATGCAAGAACAAAAACGTGAGCAATTTTCCTAGAGCACAGTGGAGTAAATCAACAGCCAGGGCGGGACCCAGGCTAATGGGGAGCCCCTTGCACCCAGCATCCAGCTCACTGATGGCTTGCTTGTAAATCTGGGCTCCGATGGATCTTGCAAGATCTTCCTTTCCCCTTGGCATGGGGAGCAGGGAGGGGAGCAGGTTGTAGCGCCAGTGCCAGCGCGGGCAGGACTTCCCTGCAGGAGGCCCTGGGTGGGCTTTCCCAGCCTCAGCCATTCCCAGAGGGGAGGTTCCAAGGCCCCCACAAGCATCCCCTGCCCCTGGAAAGGTAGGACTCAATCTTGGCCATTCAGTAGAACCTGGGGGATGTCATACCTGGCACAAACCCTTCCTGCGTCCCAGTCCTAATGATGGGGCTTCTCTGCTGTTTTTCTGCCCTTGCATTTCAGACAGTCCTTTAGGTCCTCCTTAAAGGGGTCCGCTGACCTCAGGCAGAATCCTGTTTTGAGGAGGCCTGCACAGTCCCCTATGTGTCTGTGTCTGTATGTTGGTATATCTCTCTCCAGAGGCAGAGCCACAAATTGGACTTTTTGGGTATAGGGAGGATTACTAGGAAAATATTGAATTAGTGGATCGGTCAAGACAGGAAGGCAGTTAACTGGGCAAAATAAATTTAGATTTATTTAGGAAGATGGAGGCCTGGAGATTTTGCCCATGAGAAGAAATAGGCTTTACTCAGGAGCCCTGTGTCCTTGGGGCCATCAGGCATGAGGAACTTAGAGTTTCCATCCCAAATTCCTCTAGTCCCTCATTTCTAGTGCCACTGGCCTGAAGCTCTGTGTCGTCTACACAAAGGACCTTCTTTAAGAACATCTGGTTCCCCTCCTTCCCCGCAGGGAGAAGAGAGGCCCCCTTCCTGCTGAGGCCCGGCTAGAGAGGGTGCTAGCTGCTGGGCCCATGTGGTTTCAGCATGCTCTCCCCTCCCCCTACCCCCCCGTTCAGACACCTTGGCTGTGGCAAGGAGCTCTTCACAAATGATTACAGGAGCGGAATGTGAGAAATCCCATCTTGGCAACCTCGCGGAGAGTGCACACCTCCTCAACTAAGAGGACACAGCATCTCCAAAGCTAATGAGTCCTTCAGAATCCTAAAAGCAATCAGAATCCATCTTAACAGATTTAGACTTTTGAGACAGGAAGAATTGTTAGACTGACAATAAAAGGACATTATTAATAATTACACTGTGACAGTAGGGACAAACTGGGTCACCACTGAGCTAACAGGGGTATACCATCACACAAGAGATTATGGGAACGGGTGTCTGCTGTCCCAGAGGTGGTCCTCACTTCCCCCCACCCTCAGCTGGTCAGAGAGCAGGTCAGCACAGACAGCCTGTCAGGGGACACTTGCTCCTATGACTGATCCTGGCCAGGCTGCTTGGAGTTCACCTCACTTTCTCCCAGGAAGCTCTGGCGAGGGCCCTGGGGGCCTCCTCATGTCCTTGAGCTTGTGCGTCCCCTTCATGCTGCCTTACACTCCAGAAGCAAGGCTTCAGTGAGGAGACAGGACTCCTATCCACAGAATATGTCGCCCTGCACACAGCTGATGGGCTCTGTGGTGCGCGGTGACTCAGGGGGAGACTAGTCCTGCCCGGTGATGGCGGACCTGGCTCTGAACTTCTGTCCACACCTGCCTCCTCCGCCTGTGTACCAGCCATACCAGCTGCTCTAAGTCCCTCTATGGGCTGTGCACAGCTGTCAGAAACACTTTTGCCCTGGCCCAGGCAGAAGTTCCAGGCTTTCACAACTCAGATCAAAAACCTCTTTAGGTGGTTCCTCCCCCAGCACCCCAACTTTGTGTCTTTCCCAAGCCCTGTGCTCCTGAAATGTGTCTCCATTATTGTGTGGGTAGTTCTGGTCAGCTCCAGCTTCTCTTCACCACCACATTTCAGGGGCAGCACAGAGCAGGCTCCCTGTGGGCACCTGCCATGCCTGTGACCAGATCAAAGATCCTGAGACCACAGCCCCCTGCCCAACACATGTATATCCAAGGCCGATCCTGTTGTAGAAACACAGCCCACGAGTTAAGATGCTCCCTAGGCCCTCTTCAGGGGCCCCCCTTCTTTCTGGGCCTCTCAGAGGGTTGGAAGGAGAAGCTCTGAGGGTCAGAGAACATTCCTACCTAGAATGAAGGCCACCACATAGTTGGAGATCTGGCCCATGCCAACGATGACAAATAACACAGTAAACATCTCCCAGTTGATGGAGAAAATCTGCAGGAAGCTGAAGCCAGTCTGCACAGCCATGGTTGCGAAGAGGATGCTCTTCCTGCCAAACCTGTAGAACATAGCACAGCACATGGCACACGCAGCCCACAGCGGCTGTAACTCCGGGCACGTGGCAAGCCCCGAGTCACACAATGCAGCAGACTTTGTTCCTTTTATTCTGTTTTGTTTTCAGGGCTGTGACAGACTTTTCTCCTTGTCTCGTCCTCCTGAGCTCTTCCCTGGTGATGTCTCAGGCATCCATCTGCCCAGGAGGTGCCTTTAGAGATTCTAAAACTTCTGTAGAGGCCTCGTATCTCAAAAGCACAAAGCAGCTCATGCAAGGTCCCCCTAGAAATCTGGTCCTCAGAGCAAACCACAGGTAGAAGATGCCACCCCATTCTGAAAAATTGCAGATTGCAGAGACATCTAATATCAGCAATATGGGAATTCCATCCATCCAGAATGAAGACCCCTTCTATGGCAGTAGGATTCAATCTTAGCTGCGCTTAAAATTCCCTGGTGCCAAAAAATGCTGGGGCCAGCACCCCTCCCCTGAGATTCTCATTTTCTGGGATGCTGTTTGGGTATTGGGATTTAAACAGTTTACCCAGGTGAGTCTAATGTACAACCAGATGTACACTCTACAGGGAGTGTAGCTCTACACTGTACCCATGATATGGGAGTTGGACTGAGTCTTCATTTCACTTTCAGATAGTGACCAGTGGGTAGAATGGAGCACAGGTGTGAGCAGAACAGTCTCCTACCTCATTTTCCAAAATCAGATCTTGGGCTGCTGGATTTGCATTCCCTTGGGACTTTGTAACAGGAGAAGGGACAGGCACTCCTCCGGGAAACCTTCCCAACACTGCTATTTAGCACTCCCACCTTCCTGCTCTGGTCCCCTTAGAACATTCAGGGGCCAGCATGGTACTTCTCCTGGAGCTGTGGTGCTGTCTCCACTAGACTCCGCATTCCAGGAGGCCCACAACCAGCATGGGTCAGCTCTGCGCCCTTGGGGCCCTGGCAGGGGCCTGACCCCCAGCAGCAATGTGGGTACCCACTATCTGGCCCTTACTCTGTAATGGACAGATCCCCTGTGATCTAAAAGTTAGGGGTCGGATGGGGAGGCAGTGGTGATGGCAGCACTGTATTTATTTGAGAGGTTTGGTGCAAAAAGGACTGGCTTGCAGTGGGGCCATTGCCTTCTCCTGACCATTGGCCAAAGCCCTGGCAGGGCGAGTCTGGGAAAAATGAACAAAAGAGGTTCAAGCAAGGGACGGAGAGACCAGAAACCATGAGACGTCATGGCTCTTCCTTTTACTGACTTGTTGGGGTCCTCTCTTTCTCTGGGGAGAAATACCATCAATTCATTCCAACCCCAAGATAGGCAGTGAATTGACAAGGGGCCCTATTGCACCTTTCCTCCCTCCCAGGCTACTTACCTGTCAGATAGCTGCCCGGACACAAAGGAGCCAAGGAGCACGCCCACAAAGAACAGGGAGGAGGTGAGGGGTGTCTTCCAATCATCCTCACACACTAGACTCCACTGCCAGGGAAGACAACATGAAGTGTGAGCCCAGCCGTCCAGCCGGTCCAGTCCCAGCCCAGAACTGAGGGAGTATTCGCATGGCCCGCTGGAACGGGCTTTCTCCTCCTTGAGACAGGCTATTGACTTTGTGCTGAGAGCAGAGACCTCATAGCTCTGGCCTTGACACCTCACTCTGCCACTTACTAGGGCAAGTCACTGTCCTCCCTGGGACCCACCTTCCTCTTCTGAGGGTAAGGGACAGCGATACCTCAGCTCTCTGCTTGCCTCCCATATTGAGAAGCTAGCGAGGCCATGGCTGTGACTGGTGACCCTTGAGCTGTGAAGCAGTGTGAAGCAAGGTAGTATTTCTGCCTCAGAAGGCATCCGAGCCTGGAGGGAAGGTGTTGGAAACTCCCCAGGGGCAGGGCAGAAGGCCTGGTCGCTTGGTCTAGGCATAGAAGTTTCCTCTGCCTTGGTGAAAAGGGCAAGTGGTCTGTGATGATATCTTCTGAGCTGACTCCTGTAGAAAACCCTCTCCTCCCTGCTCCATTCACACCACAGGCCAAGCTCTGACTTCCAGGGCCCACTGGGTGGCGGGGGTCAGGGTGGGTAGCTACACCTCTCCAGCGCTCTTTATCTCCCCCAACACTCCTCCACACTCCTTCCCACCCAGCCTTCCTAGAAGGGTGGTTCCTTCTGTTCCCCAGGGCCTGTGGGCTGTTGTAGCCCTAACAAGTCCCTGCTGGTGGATCTGTAAAATGAGGGCTTCAACACAAACTTCAGTTCTCAGCTCTTTAGTTAAGCCAAGTCAGCAGAATCTCAAGGGAGGCTGCAAACATTTCCAAGTGTGTTCAGTGAGCTCTCTCTCTCTCTATATATATATTTCATTATATTATATATATCCATATAGACATACATACATACATACATAGACATACACATACAAACATACATACATACATACATACATACAGGTACCAACAAATATTCTGAGGGCTGTGGATCAGGAGATTGCTGTATGTAGCAAGATGATTCCGTTTAGTGGAAAAAGTCCCTTCCTCCTGCCCAGTCCCACCTGCCCTCGGGGGTGATGCAGCTTCCCTGACATTCGTGAAGCAATTCAGTTCTTAATCCTCACAGCTCCCCTGAAATAATAGATTCAAAAATGAATTCGCATGTTTATATCACACTTCACTCTGTAGCAGAGAGAGGTGTTTAGAAGGACACAGACCAGAGAAAAGTGTAAAACAAAACGTTAAGAAACGAGGGCAAGCAGCACAGGGGAGGAGGGACTGCAAAATAAGCAAGCCAAGGGTAAGACTGACAATCAGTTGTCCTGCCCAGGGGCCTGCCTGCTTGCCAGGTTCCAAGGATTCTAGTCATTCAGCTCACATGATCCCCATTTTATGCAAAGTGTTAAACTCATTCTGCAAAAGCTAGTTTTTCTAAGTACTCAGACTTGAGAGAAGTCTCCCCCTGTATACTTCCTTCCACTAAGAGGTCATGCCATGATGTTGAGGGTAATGTCCTTGAGAACACCCCCGTCCTAAAGACAATAACAAGATTCATGAGGCCGCCTCTCCTGGCACCCACAATGCTGGCTCCAGGCAGAAGGCCTAAGCACAGCTCTGCAGGGGAAAAACACAGCAGGCCAGGCGATTGACTCTCTAATCCTCAGGCACAACCAGAGGACGCACCTGAGACCATGCCCGGAGTATGGTTGCTTCAACTGAGGTTCCTGAATGGGTTTCGGGGGAAAGGGCACAAACCCTCCAAAACTGTATGACCGGATTCAGGTGCCCTGCTGCACCATGGGTCAGCAAGCATAGGCAGGACATGCACCTAAAGTAATGGCCACACCCTTCCAAAAAATCATGGGCCGAAGTGTCAGAAAAGAGCTTGGAATCTGCCCCAACAGACAGAGAGATTAGGGACTGAGACTCCAAAGCCTCATAATATGTTGTTTTGCCTGTTTTGTATTGGAGTAAACAGGCTCGGGCACCTGGGTGGCCCAACTAGTTGAGCACTGGACTCTTCGTTTCGGCTCAGGTCATGATCTCAGGGTTGTGGGATCGAGCCCTGCATCAGGCTCTGTGCTGGGCATGGAGCCTGCTTGGGGATTCTCTCTCTCTCTCTCTCCCTCTGCTCCTCCCCCCGCGCTCACGCTCTCTCTCTCTCTCTCAAATAAGTAAATAACTTAAAAAAAAAAAAGGAGTAAACTCAGGCTCTGAGACTAGTGTTGGTCTGATGTCATAGCAAGTACATAGGCTTGCTAGGTACCAACTCAGGCCTCAGAACTCAATCTTTACCCATGTTATGCTTCGAGCAAGAACTCCAAAGGACAGACAAATGAGCTTATTAAATACTATCCACTACAAGGAAGATGCTAGGACTGGGGTGAAAAACCTTTACCACAGCCTTTAGCGCTGGGCAGAGCTGAGAAAATCTCATGTGTGGTAGGGGTATCCATGTGTCTATTATCCACTGTCACCATTCCATTTGCAGTCAAGCAGAAAAGCTCTTCCAAAGAGAATGTGTTTTCCTTTGTAGGTTTTTTGAATATTTATTCTGTCAGGATTTTGCCTTAGGGTAGGATAAATAAGACTTGAAGACAGAAAGGGAAGAAGACTGTCAGATGTGGAAGCAGGGATTACATGGCGTGGATAGTGAGCAGGACTGGTTACTTAATTTGCAGGCCCACTGCCATGTGAAAGTGCAAGGCCCTTTGCTCAAAAATCATGAAGAATTTCAAGACATCAGCAGCAGGGCATTACAATCAAGTGTGAGGCCCTTGTGACTGCATGGTTTGCACGCCCATAAAGATGCCCCTGTAGTGGATAATAGAGTGGGAATGGAGTAGGGCAAATTCTGAAGTGGGGTGCTGGGAAGAATGAGATATGGGCCAGCTCCCCATTGCTCTCCTACTGGACCCTATGCAACCATGGCCCTAGGTCCCTCTGCCTCCCTGGAAAGGGCCCCAGAAGGCCCCCATCGGCATCATGTGGCACAGGAGATAGCCATGTGCAGCCACCTGTTCCAGGTGGGTGCTGTTGGATTTTGGAAATCCTGCTCATACCCAACAGAGGGAGGCAGCTGATGTCATGGCTACTAATGGTTGGTTCCAAGGTTAGGTCGTCTCTTGAGAACTTACTATGCCCAAAAAATCTTGTTGGAAAGCTTCGAAGGATGGGAATAGGACACAGGCTTGGCATACAAATTCCAGCTGTAACTCATGGAAGGCAGCTATGCTCACCACTATACCACCAACGCTAGCTGTAACTCATGGGACTGGAGTCTGGTAAATCAGCTGCCAGCCTGAAAAAGGCCCCTTTTCTCCATGGGGTTATTCTAGTGAAGCCCAGGCCCTACCTGTGTCCAGCCCCTTGGGATTTGAGGGATGTGTCTTGGGGGCCCCACTAGCCAGAGCCCAGAGAAGTCCCTGGGGCTAACAATGACAGTGTTAGACCCAGTGGAAGACAGTCTTTTCCTAAATAAGACAGAGCTGTCCCTTGGGTCTCTGCGTATATGCATACACACATGTGCACACAAATACATACATGTGGTCTGCTCAGAGACTCGTGGTGGACAGTCTAGGGAGGAGCTGGCTGGCATGGCTCTGTAGCTGTGCTTTCAGGCCAAGCGCCAACATTTCTAAAACATAATACCTCCCCCAACACACACACACACACACACACACACACACACACACACACACACACTGGACAGAGAGTGGATTGTGGGAACTCACTGGCCCCAAGCTATGCAGGGTAGTGCACTGGATATGCCTTCCTAGGGTTACTATGTCTGTTTTATCCTCAGGGTATTAGACCAACAATTCCATAAACACAGCAGAGAAAGCTCTTTGTGCAACCAAAATTGTACAAGGGCCATCTGGCCTTCAGCTTTGCTTTAAGAAACAAAAACCCAGGTCACAAGGTACTAGAAGACAGGAGGTCACTCTCAGCATTGAAGAGTATGCCTCTCATGCTGCTTAGCAGTAATAACAGAAATGATAACTATAGTATATTGGGTGCTCACTGTGTGCCTTGTATTATTTCTTGGGGTCTCAAGGCCGCCATGTGAAATGGGTACTCTCTTTATCCCTATTTTGCAAATGAGGAAATGAAGGCCCAGAGCAATGAAACAACTAGCCCAAGTTCTAGTGGATGGTAAAATGAATTGCTTATTTATTCACCTGTCATTGAGCACCTGCTCTGGGCCAGACTCTGTGTGGGGCACAAAATGGACATGGTTGCTACCTCCACAAAGCTCAAGGTCAAGCATACTTTACAGGACAGATCAGGTGTGCATATGTGCATGCATGAGCCCGGCTGTCCTGGGCGAGGCGGGCTCTGTTCTGGGCCACTGTGCCCTTGCTCTCTGGCTAGACAGGAAAAGAGGCACCCCCTCCTCATCCTCCTCTACATGGACAGAATTCTAAAACCTGAACTCATTTTCAATAACTAACGCTTGCACAAGGCTAGGCAGGTGGTGGATTCTTCACAAATTGTTGATGCATGAGTGCTGAATGCTGAACTATTGGGGTAATGGAAAATGAGTTTGGGAAATGCGAGGTATCACATTTGGAAATCACCCTCAACCTTGAACTCTCCAACTAGCCAGTCCTGCGATTTTAGCCTTTACCAAAGACATTGAAGGACCATAATGATAAATCATCCCTGTGATCTCTGTAGAACTGAGAACTCCAGAAGGCAGTCTGATGCTTAAAGAAGAGCACAGGTTCTTTTGGGCCCTGGCACTTTCTTTCTGGCTGTGTGAGTTTAGGCACTCATTCACCTGGATCGGCCTCCTTTTTCATCTTCAGAGACAGGACAATAATACTCCCTCCTGGGTGGGGCGCCTTGGTGGCTCAGTGGCTCAGGTCATGATCCTAGGGTCTTGGGATTGAGCCCCACATCGGAATCCCTGCTCTGTGGGGAGCCTGCTTCTCCCTCACCCTCTCTCTCTGCCTGCCACTCCCCCTGCTTATGCTCTCTCTCTCTCTCTCTGTCAAATAA